CAGCAGAATGCTGTGGGAAAGGTGTCAAAGCTACCTCCTGGTAACCACAGTCATGTGGGAAGCACATGTGGAGAAGGCTTTCTTCTTACTCTGGGTACTGGGGATGTGCAGGATTGTCGTGATAATTAACATGTAGGAGACAATAGTGATGAAGAGAGGAACAAGCAGTATGAATAAGGCCAACACAAAGTCCACCATCTCTGCCAGTGACATATCAGTGCAGGTGAGGTTCAGCACAGAGCTAATATCACAGAAGAAAAAATGGTTGATAACGTGGGGACCACAAAACTTCAATTGAGAGATGAAGGAAGTCTTAATCAAAGACACGGTGAACCCGCTGAACCAAGAGACAGCTACCAGGTATATGCACATTGGGTATGTCATCATGACCGGATAGTGCAATGGTTGACAGATGGCCACATAGCGATCGTATGCCACTGCAGAGAGAAGGACACATTCAGTGCACGAGAAGGAGCTGAAGAAGAACATTTGGGTCATGCATCCCACAAATACTGGAAGCACTCCTGTCTTCGGCAATGAAATTTGCCAAGAGTTTAGGGATAGTAACAAAGATGTACCAGAACTCAATGAAGGAGAGGGGACCAAGGAAAAAATACATGGGTTTGTAGAGCTCACAGTTGGTCTTGATCAGGGCAATGATGACCGTATGCTCCGCAACAGTTAAAATGTAGGTCAACAGAAATACTACGGAGAACAATACATGCAAGTCTGCTAGGGCTGGGAATCCTAGCAGGAGGAACATATGGACCTGAGTGAAATTCTTCTCCTCCATGCAAAGAAGTGCAGAGCTGAGCCTTGGAGATTAAATGTAGACCAGGAAAAAAGGAATAAGAATATGGGACAGTTAAAAGTTAAATAAAAAATATAGTCCCACATAGGATTTGTCTGACTAAGCCTTGACTACTTGCCTTATAGTTTCCCTTTTCAGTCAACGGAAAGAAACAGGCAGTTCACCTGATCTACTGACACCTACCTTAGGATGACACACACTACATCAAAAGTGCAGATCCGATAATAACAAGGGCAATGTAGGTGACTAGTACAGGAATAGATGTCCAAGCAGAAGCCATTTATAGCACATTCTCATGAATCCCACCCCCAATTCCAAAGTTCATCTTCATCCTAGTTGTTTACTAAATCTTTGGTTAAATTTGCAAAGGCATTAATGGGAGCTAGAGAAACTAATCATCTGGCTTTTTGGGTTCGGGTGTCTCACAACTGTGATCCTGAAGTTATTGAAATGTAAGAGCTGGTCATCCTTTACCACTATTTTTGCCTGTTGAAACAGTTCGCATGTAGAAGGTACTCTTTTTTTTCGACATGGGAAGATTTACAAGAATTGATATCTTGTTATATGATACCGTTAAAAACTATCTTGATGGACCATTTCCTAGGAAAATGAGAAATTAATAATTTAGTTCAGTTTGAGAAAAAAAAAAATAAACAATGTCACAGAAATTCTGGTTCCTGGATATTTGCCACAGGTGGCTGACTTCTTAATCATTCCTTTATAAAACATCATTAAAATACCTGAGAAGTTAATGAACTGGGTTTACAAGGCTGCTAACATGACCATATCTTAGATTGCACCCAGAATTTTCCTTAAATCGTCCAGAAACAGACCCTTGCTTGGTATGTTCTCCTCCAACTTCTTGACACGGTCTTCAGATGGGATGACCCATTAACAAGAGGTGTCCAGCTTTGTCCTTAATCACAGAAAATGGAACTGACTAGATGTTAGACACCAGACGCTAAGACAGAAGAATCCTGCCCTTGAGAATTTACCTCCATTTAACTGCAATAAGATCTGGACCCCTAGTTCCTTACGTTACTTGCCAGCTAGCACTTTCTGTGATTTTGCCATGGTGTTAGATGAAAGTAACGGATTTTCTGTTACTGTTGATGTTAACGTTAGCCTTGCTGTTTTGTAGCTTAAGAGACTTGTTTGTGGGTTTGTCCTTTTCTTCCATGTATTTTTAAGATGGCAATCATAACTCTTGTAGACCAAGCTTTGTATCTAGGACTTCATTTAGGCACAAATATTAACTGCCCAAAGTCAGGCTGCTCAAACCAAAGTTTATTGTTTCTTCATAAAAAGCAGAAAATAGGCTCCTGATCTTGATCTTGCTAGGTGCTGTACACACTGCTCTTGGCCACAGCTATTGCTACACACACTGACTGTGTCTAACTAATGTAACAAGGATGGGATCCATCAGTCCTAATGTAGACATCCAACTTCTAAGGCATCTAACTCACAACCAGTGCTCTATGCCTCCTCTGTAGTCTATAGAGGGAATTAAGCGCTATCAGTGGGGGATTCATCTCATCCTACTACAGGTGTCTAGACAAGGACAGACTTATCACGTCCTAGGAGACAACATTCGCTGATGACAAAGGGCATCTTGAGCACTGACTCAGATGTAGTGGACACCTGAATTCCACCCTTGCCCCTTTACTTAGGGCAGTATTGTTAAGAACTTCTGTTATATTGGGCAATCTGAACAATCACATCAAAGTAAGTGTGAAGAGAATTTTTTTTCTGGAAAGAATAGTAATTAGAAGAAATGGATCTAAGCAATACTCTTGTTTCTCTCTTTCTGTTGCAATCCCTGTCCTGCCACTTCTCTCTCTTCTCTGGGCTCACATTGCTTCCCTCTTTCTTTTCTCTCATTCCCTTCTATTTATCCATCATCCACTGCAACTTTTAGACATATGCTTTTCAATCTAACTTTTTAACATTTCCAAGTAGTATGCTTTCTAACTGTTAGAAAAGAGACCCACCATCCCAGGTGCCCAGGATATTTTTTAAAAAAACTAATGCACTTTTTCATAAGTCACTAAGAGACTATAAATTGTCAATGACTTCTATAAAACAAAAGGAAACATTTGCTCTATGGAGCTATGAAGCAGTGGATTTCAAGACCCTAGCAGGAAATAAAAAGCAATGGCATAGTACAGACCCTAAACTCAGGACAGCAAACTTGGGTATATCCAGGAAACGGGCTTTACTAAACAGGAAACACAAAATGGAGCTCCAGTGCAAAAAGGCAGTGTACAGAAGACGGAAACAAAGCAAGGATTTAGAAGCTACAAAGCAGGGATTTAGAAGCACTTTTCAGTTATACAGGCATTGGGTTAGGAAAGCCAAAGCTCAGATAGAGCTCAGACCAGCAAAGGAGAGCAAGAAGAACTTCTACTGCCGCATCTGTGGTCAAAGGTTGAGCAAGAAAAATGGGGGCTTGCTGAATGACACAGTAAGTGACAGCAGACAGGTAAAGCAGGGACATGTAATGCCTTCTCTGTCTCAGTCTTCACCAACAAGGTACACTCTTGTCTAATCTGCAGATGACTTCATCTGCAGGGGAGCAGTTGATCTGCCCACAGTCAGGGGTGACATTCAGAGGGACCTGGGCGGGCCAGAAGAATGGGCCAAGAGGAAACTCATTACATTCAAGAAAAGCAAATACAAATTCCCACCCTAGGAAGGAAGGAAGGAAGAAGACCTTGAAGCACTATGAGCCTGGGACTGATGGGCTGAGAAGCAGCTCTGCAGGAAAACCCCTGGGACATTTTCAAGACCTGACAGGATGAAGCCCTGAGCCACCTGGTCTGACCTCATAGCTGATTCTCCTCTGACCTCAGAGCTGATTCTGAGGTTGGACCTCCTGAGTTTGTTTCCAACCGGAATTATCCTATGACCCTAAAGAAGTGCAAAAGGTATTTCTGTTAGGCCAATTTTAACAGCTTCTTTTTTAATTCTGTGAAAATATTATGTAGAGTTGTTTTCACATAGGCAAAATACAGGTGAAAACAAATATGATGCATTATTTCCTTCACTACTTTTATTAACTTGTTGAGACAGTCATACTATAAGAAAATAAATATATCTAGATAGTGATTTTTAAAATGCTTCTGGTTTTTGCGTTATTATTCTAATTTTTTGAAATATAATTGTAATCTTTTTGAATTATCAGGGTGAAAACAATTTTGGTGAAACGTGTTTTTTGACAGTTATAAAAAAGTAACCCTGAACATAATGGAAACAATTTAAATTAAAATTTGTCACCAGTTTACAGACTCGGATCTAAAAAGCATATCAGACTTTAAAGTGCATCTTTTACACCTAATTTTGGATCCATTTAATAAGCTTTAAAAAGTGAATTTTCTCCCCATTAATTGTAGAGTACAGTTCCATCCATCTCCTGTCATTCAGACTTTTTGTATAGCTGAAGAGAGCTAGCATCTGTTACATTTTGGGAGGGCATAGACAGAGGAGGATATTGTCAACACTTCACCTGAGTCTGCCCTCTGGAGGGATCTGTTTCTTTCCATTAAGTGTAAAGGCAAGCTTACCAATGAACCTAGATTTAAACGCAAACGAAAATGATGTGAGCTTCACCGCCGCTAGCCTTAGCAGTGCGGCTTATCTTGCTTAGATTTATATACTTCGATGTATTTATGTATTTGACTGTTTTTCCATATTCATACGATGGTCAATGATGAAACAATTGATTTGCATTTCCACAGACTACTACAGACTTGTTACATGTCCTCGAGTTTCCTACCCAGACTTTGTCTATGGATCCAGAACAGAAGAGAACAGAACAGATCTGTTGCACATCCTTGTCGTGCTTCATGCCTGTGAAGGATGGACATTGCCTAACAGCACTAGGCATCTAGTTTTATTTAGGCACTAAATCTCAATTGGAATGTAGGGTGCAGCGATTTATAAGTGCTTCATTTTAAGATGTTGTGATTCTTTGCACAGACATTCATCACCTGATTATTTCTGGAGATGATATCTTAACCAAATAGGCCATGCATTTGCAATCCACAGATTTTAGAAAAGTTTCATCCTTTCCAGTTTAACAATTCAGATCCTTGCAATAGCATCTGACAGTGAGGCATTTAAAGCAATTGAAAACAATTTACTTGCTACAAGAGCACTAATGTGATTTGGTTGCCTAAGAGAAGGTATCTAAAAGCATCATGTAACAGACTTGTGTGTCCTTCACCTGATGCTCAGTCCTTTCTTACTGAACAATCAGGCAGCACTTCTGCACCCTCCCCAAGCAGTGATGTGCTATCTTCAGCACTCTTGGCCATTCAGAACGGCTTCCCCTGTGGCAGATAAACGACTTGACAAGCTTTTGTAATAAACTTGGAAGTAAAGGTACGTTAGAATAATAGGATAATTTCGGTTTAAAAAGGCCCTTAGGTCATTGAGTCCAAACATTAACGTAACATTGCCAAGTCCACCACTGAACCACATGTTCTGGTTTCACTGGGATAGAACTAATTTTCTTCGTAGTAGCTGTTATAATACTGTGTTTTGGATTTAGGATGAGA